CGCTGAAAGTGTCCGTCGCAAATCCGTCGCTGATTTCCGTCGCTGATCCGTCGCTGATAGCATTACCTACGACATTTTGACCGACGGAGTATCAGCGACGGATCAACGACGGAAGGGGCTTTCAGCGACGGATCAGCGAGGGAATTTTCCCTCGCTGATACCCAGCATTTTTGTAGTGTTTGCAAGCAAAGATAAATAAATAACGAAAAATTAAACAATCACAAAACACATGGTATATATATAGTATAGCCCTTAATGCGTTGTTGTGAGCCAACACGATAAACGCGGACAAAAAGGGACGCTCCCACTAGCTTCACCCATTTGGTGAACTTCGGGACTTCATCTCAACCTTTTGGAACGCCATCTTCGATTTGATTACAATTCTAAAATAGAAAAGATAAACATATCCTAATCTATTTTACAATAATCTATAACTAGGGAATAAAAAGACATGTATGTCGTATTTTACAATTACAACCCATTGTATTTAAATACATTTTAATTTCTCAAATTAAAATAAACAATCAAACATATCCACAAAATCTCGGGGCTATAACATATATTCATTAAATCAAATAAACATATAAGCTTTTTTGGCCAAAAATAAATAAACATAAATGAAACGAAATTCGGAACAAAATGAACAAATAGGAAAAAAGAACCTCGATAAAAGCTTACAACATAACCAAATCAATCCAACCAAAGAAACGGGACCAAAAACATGACCCAGCCACGACATGGCATTAGGATGGCCACAACACAGCGCTGTCATGACACGACCGGCCTGGGTCAAAAATCCTAGTGGTCCGATTTCGGAAGTTTTCCCCGATTGTTCCGGTTATTCAGTTATGTGTCAAAGTGGCTTCAATACGACTACAGAGTTTTGTTTTAAACCAAGTTTGTCGAAACATGATGGGAATTACAAATTGATTTAATTAGGTCACTTAGCTTTTCACAAAAAGAAACCCTAATTGGTTGATCATGTATGTGGGTTTTAGGACAAATATAACCCAGATGCAAGCAAGGGAGGAGCCAGGATTACGAATTAGGGGGAGCACCAAACATAAGAAAATAAAAACTACATATTAATGTTCTTAAAATGGAAAATTAAGGTAAGCTAACTAAAATATTTGTATCAACCTCTCATTATTAGAATTATTCTTATCTGGTGTAAATGATTAATCATCGGTTGTTTAAATTTCCTCTTTATTAGATATTTTTTTTTTTTATTGAATGTTAAATTAATGTTAAACTAGTTAATATAAAATAAATTAAAATAATCACTTCACAAATAACAATATATAAATGGACATCCCTGAAATCCAATTAGTAGCGATCAACTTAAGAATATAATAGAATCAACAATTCAAATCTTTCAACTTATGTCATAAAGAGTACATGGCTATTTTTCTTGTTTTTTTTCTCTAATATCAACAATTTTAAAATTTAAATATATCAAGAATAATGTCGATCTAGCAATATTCAGCTGTAACGCTAACATGAAGCAAACAAAATAAAATTGAACTAGATGAAGTAAACATTGCAAACTGTCTTTTTACTTGCTGAATTAAACCAATATGTATATGAAAAAGTGAAATATTCAGGGGGAGCAGTTACTCCCTCTGCTACAACGTGGCTCTGGCACTATCTACATGGATCCATTATCAATGATTACAAGGCTCACTTAGTAGCCAAAGGATTCCACCAACATCTAGGTCTAGATTGCACTGAAACCTTTTATCCTGTAGTCAAAACATCTACTGTTCTGTCTATTGCGACAACCTTTGGTTGGTCCTTCCGTCAAGTTGATCATAATGCCTTTCTCCAAGTGTCTCTCAAGGATGATGTTTATATGGTCCAACTTCTCGTATTTATTAGTTGGTCTCATCCTATATATGTTTGCAAACTTCACAAAGCACTCTCTTATCCTAAACAAGCTAGCTCCAAGAGCTTGATATAACGAACTCAAAACTATCTTCTTCAACTTGGGTTAAAAAATGCCATCTCCGTTACATTCTTTTTTTATTCTCTTAAAAATGATAGTCACAAGAGGAAATTCTAATCTCTTTTATAGTAATTTGACCCTAAATTCTCAAAATATGGGGGAAAATTTATAGACCACATACGTGACTAAAAAAAACGGAATGGCCAAACAACTAGGCTAGATAAACGGAAAGGATAAACATAAAGAAAGAGGACATCATAAGGAGGATATCCTATACTCCCCTTCAAGATGGAGCATGTAAGTTTTTAATGCCCATCTTGCCAAGTAGAAACTGGAGCTGGTGTGTTCCAAGACCCTTTGTGAACAGGTTCGCAACTTCAATCTTACTGTCGATGGGCATAGGCAAAATTTCTTTGGACTTGACTTTTTCTCAAACGAAGAAATAGTCCATCTCTAACATGTTTCGTCCTCTCATGGAAGACTGGGTTGTTGGTAATGTGGCGAGCTGCCTGATTATTGCAGAATAAAGCAATTGGAGTATCGATGGTGACCCAGAAGTTCTTTAGTAACCAGCAAACCCACAATACTTCACTAACTGTGGAAGCCATAGCCCTAGCAAATAACCTGTTCTTTAGCGTCTCATATAAGGGCATCCAAGACAATCTGAGTCGCAAAAGGCAGTTAGAACCGGCTCTTCGGCTCGAGGGAGAAGGATCCCTTGTCCTGGTATACCTTTTAAGTATATTAAGACACGATTCACAGCTTCCATATGATTACGGCATGGGTCAGCAACAAATTGACTCAGGATGTTGACAGCATACGTGATGTCGGGACGTGTAGCTTGGAGGTAAAGTAACCGACCAACTAGTTGATTATGGCCATCATCAACTTGAGTCTCATTCTCTCCTTTGTCTAGGTTTAAATTTTGTTCGATGGGGAAGGGACTTGGTCTGCATCCCATCATTCCACTATCTTTAAGGATGTCCAGGATATATTTCCTTTGACTCAGAACCAACCCATTAGATGTTTTTGCTACTTCAATCCCAAGGAAGTATTTTAAAGGACCAAGATCTTTGATGTTGAATGCTTCGTCAAGTTGCGTTTTGGTGTCTTGGATCCGTTCAAATTTATTTCCAACTATGATGATGTCGTCCACATAGATTAAGATGGCAAAAAAGAATTCTTCTTTCCCATACATGAACAAGGAATGATCATCCTTGGATCGACAGAAATTTAGGTTCGAAAGGAAGGTGGTGAACTTGTAATACCAATTCCGAGAAGCTTGTTTCAAACCGTAGAGACTTTTGTAGCCGAAAAACTCCGTGTTTCATTTTCTTGGGAGAGGCCTTGAGGAAATTTCATGTAAACTTCCTCATCCAGGTCGCCATGAAGAAACGCATTATTGATGTCAAGTTGGTGAATGATCCAGTTTTTCTTTGTAGCAATCGCTAAGAGAGTCTGAACGGTCACTAGTTTGGCAACTAGGGCGAACTTATCGTGATAGTATACCCCCTCTATTTGAGTGAACCCCTTTGCAACTAGTCGGGCCTTGTATCGTTCCACTTCACCACTGGGTTTGTATTTTATTTATATACTCATTTCGAGTCGATTGCCCGCTTCCTTTTCGATAAGTCTGTCAAAATCCAAGTCTCGTTCTTCTCAAGAGCTTTGATTTCTTGTTGCATGGCTTGTCGCCAATGTTCATATTAAGACGCATGCTTAAAACTTTTCGGCTCATTGTTGGAAGTAACGACCTTCAAGAACGTTTTGTGATTATTAGAAAAATTTTCATATGAAATAAAATTTGAGATAGGGTGTGCCGTCAAGGTTTCTTGATTGGAGACGGGTTTTTGTGATTGACTGAAGGGGGAAGCTTCACGATGTAATCATCAAAATGCTTTGGTTGTGATTTTTATCTCCTACTCCTGGTCTTGGTTTTACCTTGAGGCTCGCCACCTTGAATATACTCATTCATGAAATCAAATTGGTTATCATGAGACTCGATTTCCACGCTATTGGGCTCTTCCTCACTTTGTATCTCTTGAGGGCCTGATTCATTGTCTACAAGCTCATCTGTAAGAGTATCTTCACTATTATGGGCTTGTTGGTCTTCACCGTAAGTGGGCTCGATTGTCTGGCCGAGGTGTGCCTTTCATGGCAAATGCAATCTTGATGTTTTATGGGGCCCTCATCCCTATGGTGAAGAAATTTGATACTAAATTCTCAAAATATGGGGGAGAATTTATAGACCACATACGGGATTAAATAAACGGAATGACCAAACAACTAGGCTAGATAAAAGAAAAGGATAAACATAAAGAAATAGTCATCTACTGTGACAACATGGGAGCTACATATGTCGTCGCAAATCCAAAATTCTACTCCAAAATGAAACACATGGCACTTGACTATCATTTTGTTCGTGAAAATGTTCAAACCAACAACTTCCTGTATCATACATGTTTGTCAACGATCAGCTTGCTGATGCTCTCACTAAGCCTCTTGCTTAGACACAGTCCCTTGCGCTCATTTCCAGTATTTGTCTCACTAATTGATCGTCCATCTTACAGGGACATGATAGAGATGCATCAAATTATATCTCTTGATCACCAAATTCATATTCCTTGATCTATTCTCCATTCACATCTCATATAATTAATTTAATTTGTAATCTCTATGACAGAGTTCCTATTTTCAAATCATGTATATATACTCCATAATAGTTGATGTGATAAACACGTCAATTCATTTTACAAATTATAATGTTTTGTTTATGAGATTATCGGTCAAAAAATGGATATAGAATAGAAAATTTTATAACTTTGTTACATGAATTTAGAAAAAAATATATTTATTACATTAAAAAGATGCTAAACTAAATTACCTTTGTTATATTTTGTTACATCTTGCCCAAATTTTTACCTACAATTGTTTGTCTTTTTTTCTTGGTAATCAACATAATCCCCTACGGTTGCATGCTAACTATATGTGTTAATGACCAATTTTTTGTTTCTGGATATTGATGCACATCTTGTTAACATCATAAAAATGTCCTTAAAAATGTGCATCACATGATCATTCATATTCCAAACATCATTTTGTTAAAGAAATCTTGAATCAGTTACCTGCGTTTATTATTTCATTACAACAAAATTGAATTCATAAGCCACCTAAAATGTCTTAAGTGCTCTAACAAATATAGGGTTTTAGTTTATAAAAACGACGTCAAGGCTGTTCCAATATTTTTGCAGCAGTGTAGGATTTGTACCAAGAGTACCATAGATTGACTAGACTAGTAATGAATAAAAATATAAAAAGGTTTAAAAAGTCTTATGAATTACAACAAAAAATATTTAAAAATGACAAAGTAACATATGAAATTTACTTAAATAAAATAATTCTTCTAACGTTTTTCGTAACAAAATCTTCCATCAGTTATTTATAATCAACTTTCTCTTCAAAAACCATATTCAATAGCTATCAATGCTAAAGTAACAAGGACAAGACCGAAGGAGTAGACTAAAACATGAGTTAAAATAATAGGGAAAAGATAGAAGGATTAGGTTATAATATGTATATTTGGACCCCAAAACCTTTTAAAGAGCCCTGTTCGATCAGTATCTCCATGTGGACACCTCTGATACGGCCTAAAGCATCGTATTTAAAAAATGATACAATAAATTTGTAAGACACATCAAATTTTCACATGTTACATATCATTGTCCCCTACAAATTCAAAGAATTAAGTGGCTGGTTCAGAAATTTAGTTGAGAAGCATGTTGGAGCATCACCGATGCATAACCTTATAATAGGTTATTTGTTGTAAAAAATTATTAAATTGACTTAGAATCGGGATTTATATCGTACAATTAAGATTATTATATGTGATCAACATAAACGTGAAGGGAGTTGAAGCGGAATGCCCACTAATGGCATGGACAAAAATTAAATATAAACCATATGAATCGAAAGTCTCATCCTTGATGGGAAAAATGTCACGATAGTAACAACAAATGTGGAATAAATCTTTGTTGGACAAAACTTTCCCGTCTTATATGAATAGTTGAGCTTGCAAACAAATGGGGTATACTAAATTCAATGATAATCAACCCTCAAAATCATAAATAAGCAACAAATAATGCATATGCGTAACATACAAATTTTAGCGTGAAAAACCCCTCAAGAGAGTAAACATCGCAGTATCCTTTGGTCGTTTAAAATCCACTACCAACAATAAATCAAACAATCCACAAGGATTCTCTGAATAAACTAGAGATAATCATCAAACTCTTGGAACAAATCATTAAGAAGTATGAAATCAATCTGAAAGGAAAAAAAGAAATATCATCTAGAAAACGGTCCTCTGTCGAGCAGAAAAAGAACGACCTTCGGAATGCCAAAACTGAGCTCCACCTTTGAGAATGTAGGTAACAGTTCTATGAAGCCTCAGGCCAAATATCATGATGATTTGGCGGCTCAATTTTTGGTAATAAGCAAAATGACGCGACTGCGCTTGCCAGAAAAGTGCAACCGAAAATCTTCTCTTTACTCTCTTACTCTTTTGTATTTTATGGATTCTCTTATGTTACAAAACCCTAGGATGCAAGACAATAAATAACTTGTATTATAACACTATTGTTGGGCTATTTTAACTATTTCTCAAGGGTTAGAAATAATTAAATAAAACCCAACAGTCTTTGTAGCAATTTATCGATCCATACTTGATATAATTAAGATCTAGAAGCAATTTCGAGACAAATTTCTCTGTACATAAAAGAAACGTGTACTAAAATTTAGAAAAGAAGCCAAAATAAATATAATGAGTTTATCTTAGTTTTTATCAAGTTTTTCTCAATTAATGTAACAAAACAGACTTGGTAGAGTTCACAACCCTTGACACTATGACTCCAAGAAAGTTTACGAGGTTAGTGAGCAGCGTTGCACTTTCTTTTACCTTCTTTGTCCATTAGTCTTTGTATTTCCTACCGTTTTTTGACCGGCTAGATCATGTAGCTTTTGATGATCTTAATGTCAAGTTGTTAAGTTATACTGTAATTCTTAATTATTAGAAAATATCACATTAAACTCAACGGATCTCTTATTTACATAAACTCATTTATTAAGTAAAATATTTATAAATTATAAAAGGGTAAACACTTGTGATGCTAATTGAGGAAAAAATTGTTGTTACCATAAAAAAAACTAAGGGGCCAATTACAAATGTTAAGCTGGTAAACATTTATCGGTAAGAGTTACCACCCTCACTTACCTTACTGGATAAGATTTCTGGCCATCAAAATAAAATCATATAAGCGTCTTTTATCTGGTAGATGTTAACCGGGTAAAAGTCATCACCCTCACTTACCTTACTGGATAAGATTTCCGGCCATCAAAATAAAATCATATAAGCGTCTTTTATCTGGTAGATGTTAACCGGGTAAAAGTCACCACCCTCACTTATGGAATAAGATTCTAAGCTTCTACTATATTATCTGACAAATAGTAAGGTAAATGACCCGATAAATACTTATCCGGTTAACGCTAGGTAAATTACCTAACACTTGGTTATTTTTAATAACAAAATTCCTTAAAAATATATTTAAATTAACGTAATCAATTTGAAAGTATCGTGTGTTTATGCAGGTTTCTTTAGGAACTTAAAATTGATTAGGAATTCGAGAACTACTCACAGCTCAACACATGGCATATTCATTGCAAATATAAATATGATATTCATCAATGAATGATGTAGAATATTCATCATGAATGTGCGGTTCATGATGAATAACACATCCATAACACGTCCTTATTTATCATGAATGTATAACATTTCTATAATCATCATGAATATGCTGTTATGATAAATATTCATCCTAAAGAAGAACATGTGGTGTACTATGAGTAGTTCCTGGATTCCTAGTCATTTGGATTTCTAATGATTTGGTTGTTTTTGTATTCTCTTATTTAGTTATTATTTTCATTTAAACCTCTTTCTATAGACACACACGTGCGAACACACTCACACATACACACACAAGCGCACACACACACACACACACACACACATATATATATATATATGTGTGTGTGTAGGGCCTAATTAGACGAGAACTGTTTTTTTTTTGCTAACCGTGAGATCCAATCTCAACCACAAATCAAAGGTTAAATTAGGAAATTAATAATTTTGGTAATTTTAACTTAAAATATTAATTAAGGGCATTTTAGGGATTTTATAAATATACTCTCTCATCTCTCCTCTTTCCTCTCTTCGAGGAATCTTATTCGGCGAACCTTATTCTGATGAACCTTATGTAAACACAAGATACACATTGTGATACCTACAAACGATATTCACTGTGATACCCATATATATATACAAGATGCATAATGTGATACCCTCTGTAAAGTAATGAAAGTAACGAAAATGCACACTATGATACATTTCATAAAACATAGGAAATACACTGTGATACACATGAAACATTGTGAACATTATCACTATGATACACTTTGATTCACAAACGTCTTTAAAATACGAGGTATATTAGGTAAATGATATACTATGTAACTAATTTTAATTAAATATTTTATTTTATATAATTTAATTAAATATTTTGATTAATTGTCAAAAATGAAAATACCATATTACCCTTTTAGCTTATTTAAGAAATATCCCTAAATATCTCAAACGAGTAGTTCACATTGGATCTCACGGTTACCACAAACTAATCTGTTCTCTCTTGAGTGAGCTCCTATATATATGTATGTATGTATGTATGTATGTATGTATGTATGTATGTATGTATGTATGTATGTATGTATGTATGTATGTGTATATCTAGGCGGAGGTTTCAACAAGAAAGCATCTGTTTTACGAAAATTCGAACACTTACATTTCCAAATCATAAGACCCATAATAAAAATTATAATAAAATGAATAAATGAGTATTTATCAACAATTTTATCTCTTTTAAATTTTGTGTTAATCTCTTAAATGTTGCGAGTATCATCACAGACTTCTTATGGCAATGCATCCGTTGTTCATAATGATATGATTTTACTGTGATAATAGTGTAATAATGTTTTGATAAATCGAAGACTTCTTATATGATTTTGCTATGTTGTTGATTTGATTGTTATGTGATTTTG